TTGTCACACTGGTGTTTGCATATGCCCCTGGTTTTTGCCATGGTACCACCACTCTTTTATAACTAGTGAATTCCAGAAAAGTGAAGTATAATATTCACTGGGGTCAGCAGCCCAGTGAAAATTCAAATCAAACAGGAAAAAAAACACTACCTTGACAGAAATGAAGATGAAAAACAAAACCTTACAAAATTTATGAGATATAGCAAAAGCAGTTATAAGAGGAAAGTTTATAGCTATACAAGCCATCAGGAAGCAGGAATGATCCCAAATAAACAATGTAATTTATGTCTAAAGGAACTAGATTGAGAAGAGCAAACAAAATCCTAAGTATATGGAAGGAAATAATAAAGATCAGAGTGAAAATAAATGGGACAGAAAATAGTAAAACAACAGAAAAGATCAGTGAACTAAGAGGCGGTCCTTTGAAAGGATAAATGATATTGACAGATCTTTACCAAGAAGCATAATGTGAAAAGAGAGAGGACACAAAATAAACTCGGAATTGAAAGAGGAGACATTGTAGTAGACAACATAGGAATACAAAGGATCACTAAAGAATACTATGAACAATAATATGGCTACAAATAGGATAATCTAGAAAAATGGATGAATTTTTAGAAACATACATGCTTCCATGACTACACCAGGAAGAAACCAAGAATTTGCATAGACCAATTCTAGCAACTATATTGAAGCATAAAATAAAAAACAAAAAAGTAACAAGAAACTGAAGCACTAGGGCAGACAGCCTCAAAGGTGAATTCGGCCAAATATTTAATAATTAGTAGCTATTCTTCTGAAACTATTTCTAAATATTGAAAAGACAGGAACACTTCCAAACTTATGCTATGAGGCTAACTTTAGTCTGATAACCAAAACCTGACAGAGACACTACCAAAAAGAGAATTAGAGGCCAATATCCCTGATGAACGTAGACACCAAAATTCTCAACAAAATTTCAGCAAGTGAAAGTCAGCATACATTAAAAAGATAACATATCATGATCAAGTGGGGTTTATATCAGGGATGCAAGGATGATTCAACATCTGTAAAACAATGCATGTGATTCATCACATTAGTAAAACCTATGGTGAAAATCATATGGTTATTGCAATAGATGCAGAAAAAGCGACTTTACTGCCACTGCCATCCAAGAGCCCACACACTGAATTGTCATTGGTTTGATTCCTGGTCAAGGGCATGTATTTGGGTTGCAGATTGGATCCCCAGCCCTGGTCATGGAACATGCAGGAGACAACCAATTGTGTCTCTCTCAGATTCATGTTTTTCTCTCTCTTTCTCTTCCCCTGGCTCCATCCCTTCCTCTCATTCTAAAAATCAATGGAAAAAGTATTCTCAAGTAAGGATTAACCAAAACAACATAAAATGAAGTGAAGAAATATTTGTAAAAGATACCTCTGATAAGGGGCTAATTTCCAAAATTCATAAAAAACTCATACAGTTCAACAATAGAAACAAAATCTGATTAGAAAATGGGCAGAGGACCTGAATAGATAATTATCCAAGGAAGACATACAAATGGCTAACCAACATATTAAAAGATGCTCAACATCAGTAGTTATAAGGGAAATGCAAATCAACACCACAATGAGGTACCACCTCATAACAGTTAGAATGTCTATTATCAATAAGACATGAAATAACAACTGTTGAAGAGAATATAGAGAAAAGGGAATCCTCATACACTGCCTGTGGGAATGTAAATTGGTGCGGCCATTATAGAAACAGTATGGAGGTTCATTAAAATTTAAGAATAGGGCTTACATATGGATCAGCAATCCTTCTTCAGGGTATCTACCCCAAAAATTTGAAAACACTTATCAAGATATATGGGAGGCGATGTTCATTGCAGCATTATTCACAATAGCTAAGACATGGAAACAACCTAAGTGTCCTTCAATGAGTGATTGGATAAAGAAGAAGTGGTACATATCCTATATAATAAAGAGAAAATATGCTAATTAGACTGAACAGCAGAATGATTGAATGGACGACCTTCTGGACAAAGCCAAGGCTGCGAGGGCCAAGCCCCTTACATGATTTTGTGCATTGGGTCTCTGGTCTATAATAATTAAAGGATAATATGCAAATCGACCGAACTGCTAAATAGTGGACTGACCCTCAGACAACCACGCTATGACAAGGTGGTGCAATGTGATTGGTCCGGGGTGGGGCCCGCCACTGCCCCACAATCAACCCACAAAGGGAGTCCCAGGCCACCGGCCATCGGGTTAATCAAGGGTGAAAGGAGGGTGGCAGCAGACACAGGCAGTGCCAGCCCAAGGGAGGTGGCCGGCTGCCAGCAGCCAGTTGGAAGCCCAGGTCCTGGATGCCAGCGCCTGGAAGGAATCCCAGGTGCCAGCAGACAGGGGATGGAAGGCCTACCCTTGCATGAATTTTGTGCATGGGGACTCTAGTATACCATGGAATACTACTCAGCTATAAAATGATTAAATATTGCCATTTGAAACTTGAGAGGGTTCTGCTGAGGAAGTCAGCTAGAAAAGCACAAAAGCTGTGGTTTCACTCATGTGGGATAGAAACCAAAAATCAACAAATGGAAAAAGCAAAGAAACAACAACTCACCAATGGTGGTGACCAGAAGGAAGGGGTGGTGGGGAAGAGGATAAAGGGAGGTGAGGGAAGGAGACTGCACTTCACAGTTCAGTATACAGATGTCCTATTACAACATTGTGAAACCTGAAATTTACAGATACTATTAACCAATGTTACCCCATATATTTAACTTAAAAAGAGTTACATATTTTTTGTTATTTGATAGAAGTACAAATATCTATATTTTAAAGATTAACATCAATCTGACATGAGACCAATCCATGGCATAAAAAAACAAAGGTTTCTCAGGGATCAGCATAGATGCAGCTCCTTTCTTAGATTCTTAATCTTATAGGAGGGACCTCTGCATGCTTTTAGCCCTTCAGGACTTTACTTGATGTGTCTCCACCACATGATTTCACATACTAATTCTTTCAGATCTGTTAGATTTTCAAGCCCACGGATAATTAAAAGGAAGGGGAATGGCTAAAGTAGAAATGATACTATTCTAGGAAGAAAAAAATCTACCAAGAAATCCAGAAACGAAAAATTCTAACAGCATAGCAATATAGTAACACAGCTTAAACAGCTACCTCAGAGAACTTCTGCGGCCAAGCATGATCCATTCATCAGTGAAGGAAGAATAAATTATAGTTAAAGTAATGTTAAAGTTATAAATGTTGGTATTTAGTTGACATCTATTCACTTATAAAATGTTCAGTTCACTGATATGGAACATATGACATGAAGTCTTATATTTTAAAATAGTTTAGCCTACCAGTATTTTGATCTATGAAATCCATGATGCTTATTTAAGAGTCAGCACTTACCATGGCATGTCTTGAGCACGCAGGGGGCACAGAGTGTAGTAGGAAAAGAAGGCATATCATCCCTGACCTCTAGGAACGTGCCTCCTGAGAGGAGACTGAATGAACCTGAGGTGACAATGCACCATCATCCTATCTAATAAAGAGGAAATATGCAAATTGACCATCACTTCGTAACAGGCTGACTGCACCCACAGCGGAGGCCAAGTTGCCATAATGAGCCTTAATGAGCAATCAGCATGGACCTGAAGCTGCGTGGTGCTGGGCCAGGGCCGGGTACCTCAAGCCATGTCCCCTGCCCCAGCACCAAGCCAGTTGACCTGAGATCATGCCCCACACCCCGGCACCAGGCTGTGGGACCTAAGGCAGCACCCCCCACCCAGCGGGGCTTGACAGGGGACCTTAGGCCATGCCTCCTGCCCAGCATGGCTTGACGGGGGACCTCATGCTGTTCCCCCTGCCCCAGGGCTGGGCTGGGGGACCTGAGGCCACACCCCCCCGCCCGGCTGGCCTTGACAGGGGACCTCAGTCCATGACCCCTGCCCAGCAGGGCTTGACAGGGGACCTCAGGCTGCTCCCCCGGCCCCTATGCTGGGCTGGGGGACCTGAGGCCACACCCCCGCCACTGCGCCAGGCCAGGGGACCTGAGGCTGTGCACCCCGCCATAAGGGGCTTGATGGGAGACCTCAGGCTGCAGCCGCTGCCCTGGCGCCAGGCCTGGGGACCTGAGGCCACACCCCCTGCTCAGCGGGGCTTGCAGGGTGGGACCGGCTGGATACATATCTAGCCCAATGGGGTGGGGCTGGCTGGGGCTGGGTCTTGCGCAATTTAGAGGTGCATGTGGGTGAGCGGGGACTTGACTCTGGTTCCCATGGTGCACACCAGACTCTGACATCAGGAAGATTTTTCATATACATTTTACTAATTTTCTTTCATCTCTGACACTTCTATTATAGAGAAAGGGCAAATAGCAATATTAAAATATTTCCTCTAATTAATTCCCTTTTAATGTGCATGAATTTCGTGCACCAGGTCACTAGTCTTTTAGAAAAGCCATGTCTACAGCCAGCAGAACCCCGAAGTGTCAAAGTAGCCCACGTTAACAGAACTCTGATTGGTTCACATTCCCACCATGTTTATAATGAGGGCTAAGGTGCTCCTTAGTGAAATAAGGTAAATGTTGTTAGTTCCATTTTTGGTTTGGTGCTTTTCTTCCATTTCAAACTGTGAAAGAGTACTCTGATGGAGGGCTATATACAATAGAAGTCTTTTTGGGGGAGGTGAGTGTGGAATAAACTCAGAAAAAAATGGGAAGGGCACGTATCTATAAATAAATTTTTAAACCAAAAACATTGGTGCTCTCTCTTCAATTTACTGTTGAAAGAATATTCAGGTTAATCTCAAAGAAATCAAAGCTAATAGGATGTTATTTAAAGCAAGCACAGCTCATCATCTGGTAAAAGCCTGGCACAGTCACTTAAAATCTCACCAAGGGCCTTCCATTTATTCCGTATAACCTGCCTGCTACCAGGCCATAATCCGTGGCTGGTGGAAAAGATAATATTTACTTTCATGTTCTTATTCTCTCATGTCCAGGTGACTGTGGTGAGACACCAAAATTCAAAACTATGTCAACCATAGTTGAGTATAAACCCCCTGTTATTAACCAGTTTGAAGTGGAATATGTGTGTAACCCAGGATACAAGTCTATTTATCCTGACGAACACATAGTTACTGTTTGTGAACCTGATGGCACATATAATCCTCCTCTCCAGGAAGCTTGTACAGGTAAGTTCACAAAATTTTTATTGTTATTGCTCTAAAGATTTTCATACATTTTAGACTGCATATTCCACTATTACCATGATGGTTTTCTCAAGATGGATAGATTTTAGGTAGCAAGATATTTTTTCAGGCTTTGAAGATCTCCAGGAAATTTTTAATTTGGCCATTCATTCTCTGGGTAAATGTGACTCTTAACCAGTTAACTACCAAGCGTCCAGAATGAGAACCATCCCCACATGCCACAATATTTTGAATTTAATTTAAAAAATCAATTTTCAATGAATATTATAAACATAAATATATTACAATTCGGGTATTCTTCAATATTTTCAGCTGAAAATTCTCATGAAAAAATGATTTTAAAGTTGGTCAAGGCTACCACATAAAGAAAACATTGCTTTTGTATAGACGCATGTGGCATGGGGGGAAGGTCCGCAACTTGCATCTACAGATGCTTATGGCGTACAATGGGTTAAGTTTGGCCATTAGTGACCACATGGATGGAGCTTGAGAATATTATGGAAAGTGAAATAAGTCAGTGAAAATAAGTTAAGGACCAGATGTACGTAAAACTGGAACTCATAGACACAGAAACAGTTTGGTGCTTACCAAAGGAAAAGGTGGGTGGTTGCAGGGGTAGTAATGAGTAAAGGGGACCAAGTTTATGTGGAAGATGACTTGACTTTGGGTGGTGGGCACACGCCCAAATAAAATGTACAGATCATGTGTCATAGATGTGTACACTTGAAACCAATATAACCTTATTAACCAATGTCACCCCAAGAAACGTAATAACAATAAATAAGAAAGTATTTCCATCAGTTTAATAACACAATGTAAAATTTTTATTTTTCTTCAAATCTATTTTGACATTGGTATAAAACAACACATTTGAAATTTTACGTTTAGAGGTGTATTGTCCACAGCTACGAGATCTCCAAAATGGCGAAGTAATCCACAATAATGGACCTTTCAAGCTTGGTTCACAAGTTGAGTATGTTTGTAATGAGGGGTAAGTACGTTGCTCCTTGGAGGAATAAGGTAAACATTGCTGGTTCCATTTTTGGTTTGGTTCTCTTCTTAAGCTTTTCCATAATGTTGATTTCATCTTGCTTTCTATGGAGCAAGTTGTACCTACAGCCAATCAACCCTTTGGTTTTTTATGGAGACTGAAAAGGTGCAATGAATAGAAAGAAATTTAACTTGAAGGAAAGCAAAATTATATCATATGATTAGTAACAATTAGCCTATCATAGTCATTAAAAATGTAGTAATCATGGTGACATGGTCCTAAATTAAATTATAAGAAGCAGGAGGGTGGGAAAGAGAGACAGAGGGTTCATCAGTTAACAGAAGCCAAAGGCAGAAACTAATGAAATGTGTGTTGAAACTTTGAATGAACTTCCAGAGGTACTTGAGGATCATACTAATAAAAGAGCTAATAGTGTAGCTGTTCTTCAATAAGGGCCAGCTCCCCACCAGATTTCACCGCACCCAGCTTCCACATGAACTTTTCAGACTGTCCAGCAAACTGTCCAAAAGCAGCAAACACTTCCTCCTCCCATCTATGCACCTATCCCAGAACTAGCCATACTTTCCCTTCTTCTGCCCCCTTATCTATAACCAATGTGAATTCCTTCAAAATAACTTACATCTTTCTACTCAAAGCTGTAAAAGAACCCCATTAAACCAGGATGGCGAAAATGCTTGCCTTCATCTCCCTGCTGCTGCTGGTTTAGACTGCATTCCCCTGACCTGGTTCTTTTTGCTGGTGACCGTATGGCAAGTCAATAAACCTGTTCCTTCAGAAAATCTGGCTGCGAAGGGTTTTGTTTCACAACTTTATCCCATTGTGGTCAGAGAAGATACTTTGTATCATATCTATCTTATTAAAACCTATTGATTCCTTAATATTAATTTGTGGCTCATCATATGGTCCATATCGTGGAAGATGTCCCATGTTCATTTGAAATGAATATATATTCTGTTCTATGGATTCTACACTATTTATTTTCATTGTATACTTTGTTTCTAAATTTACATAGAAGATTAACATGCATTTACAACCCACTGTTACAATATTCATCACTTTGAATATTTCTTGCCACTCCCTTCTGGCCTGCAAACTTTCTGTTGAGAAATCCGCTGACAGTCGTATGGGTACTCCCTTGTAGGTAACTGAGTTTCTTTCTCTTGCTGCTTTTAAGAGTCTCTCTTTGTCTTTTGCTCTTAGCATTTTAATTATGATGTGTCTTGGTGCGGTCCTCTTTGGATTCCTTTTGTTTGGGGTTCTCTGCACTTCCTGGACCTGTAAGTCTATTTCTTTCACCAGGTAGGGGAAGTTTTCTGTCATTATTTCTTCAAATAGGTTTTCAATATCTTGCTCTCTCTCATCTTCGAGCACCCCTATAATTCTGATGTTGGTACGCTTGAAGCTGTCCCAGAGGCTCCTTACACTATCTTCGTATTTTCGGATTCTTTTTTCATTTTGCTTTTCCGGTTGGGTGTTTTTTGCTTCTTCGTATTTCAAATCTTTGACTTGATTCTTGCGCTCCTCTGATCTGTTGTTGGGTGTCTGTATAATATTCTTTATTTCAGTCCGTGTATGTTTAATTTCTAGTTGGTTCTTTAACACAACATCGAGGGTCTCATTAGATTTCTTGTAGATCTCATTAAGTTTATCGGCAGTTTCTAGAAAATTATTGAAAGACCTTAAAAGTGCAGTTTTGAGCTCTATATCCTCCATTTCTGTCATGTTTCTTTGTCTCCGCATTTTTTATGCTTTCTTGGTGCACCCCCTTGTGGTCTTTGTGCGCAGTCTTGTTGTAGTTAAGCCTTGATTGTTGTCGGTAATACTGGGGGTGATTTGACCTCCAGGCCAACTAGCTATGAGAATCAGCTGTGTCTGCAGTGGGAGAACTGTGCTGGATCTCTAGGGTGGTGCTAATCTAGCCTTTGCCTGAGGCTATCCGGCAAATGCCTCTGTGCAGGGCTTGGGTGGGGCAGGTCCCAGGGGATCTACAGGGCGGGCGGATCTCAGTCCCGTCCCCAGGGGCTCTGCCTCTCAGAGTCCCAGCAACCGCTGCAAACCTCGGAGAGAAAGCTGCCTTCGAGTTCCGACCAAAGCCAGACAGTCCCGTTTGAGTCTGGGTCCCTAGAGACTCACCCGGATCTGGATCTCAGAGTTTGAGACTCCCTCATGATTGAAACAGACAACCGCGCCCTCCGCCGCCAGCCCGCTCCGCATGCACTCCGCACCTTAGTATTTTACTTCAGCACTGTGCCTCCTCTGAGTTTCGATATGCTATTCTCTTTCCTCCTAGTTGTAGAACTTCCACTCAGCCAGCCTTCCTGTGGTTCTGGATGATGTCCGTTCCGTCTTTTAGTTGTATTTTTGAAGTGGTTGTTCGAGGCAGCAAACTCTGGCGTTAACCTATGCTGCCATCTTGGTTTCTGCTCCTATTTGTTTTCTTAAAGCTCCCCCCCACTTTTTGCACATTCCTACTTTTGTTTGCTAGTTGATTTTTTTAATGAAGTGTTAGAATACCTTTATCATTTCCTTTTGCATGTATTCTATGGTGATTTTGTCTCTATTTCCCATGTGGATTACACTTACCATCCTAGAGTTATAACACTACAATTTGAATTTATGCCAACTTAAATTCAATAAATTACAATAATGAATGCTTATCAGTTTATCCTCATCCCTTTGGGTTATTATTGTCACACTACCATCTACAATAATAATTGAAATCCTGGCTTCTACACTATTTTCATTGTATGCTTTGTTGCTAAATTTACATAGAAGATAAACATACCTTTACAAACCATTGTTACAATAAGACTAGCTTTAATAATTGCCCATGTATATACCCACAGTGAGATGTCGATCCATGTAGTATGACTTACTGTAACCAAAAAACATGGGTTCGGCTGCCTGCTGCAGCGAATGCCAAACTGGTGAGGCAGGTGCTAATGGAAAAGGAAAGAGGTTTTATTCAAGTGCCCTGACACCAGGAACTCCCAGCTCAAACACCACCACCCCCCTTTCTTGCTCAGGCCTGCAGCTCTTATATAGTTAGGGAAGGGAGGGCTTTATATTCTTTTGGAACTCTTGAGTCATGTCCTTCACATTGAGAGTTTTTGGTGTGCTTAATGTAAGAATCTCTCCCTATACCAGTGGTTCTCAACCTTCCTAATGCTGTGACCCTTTAATAGAGTTCCTCATGTTGTGGTGACCCCCAACCATAAAATTATTTTCGTTGCTACTTCATAACTGTAATTATGCTACTGTTATGAATCATAATGTAATTACATATGTGTTTTCTGTTGGTCTTATGCGACCCCTGTGAAAGGGTCGTTCGACTCCCAAAGGGGTCGCCACCAAGAGTTTGAGAACCGCTGCACTATACCAACTTGGCTAATGGGAAAGACTCCCCAGCACTGGGACTGGCTGTCTAGGTAATATTATTACTCTCTAGTGAACTTTAGGACAGCGTGGAGCTTTTTATGTAGTTGAGTTATGGTTGTAACAAATTCTCCTAACTTTAATTTCTGGGTAAGTCTTAATATTACCCTCAATTTTGCCACACAGTTTTACTGTAGAGATGATTTTTGGCTGAGCTTCTTTTTATTTGTGTCTGTTATCCAATGCTTCCTGGCCCCCGAGTTCCTGTTGAGATCTCTGCTGACTATTTAGACTCCTTTTCCTGGATTTTGGCTTTGACATTCTCAGTGGTATCACTGGGCTCAACCTGGAGAGGGATGGTCTTGCCCATCAGGGTACTCACAAATTCCTGCATCTCTGCAACTGCCATCAGCTGCCTCATGAAGGGAAAGAGGACTATGGAACTGAAAGCTGCAGCTCTGTCCCCAAGAGGGCCTGCGAAAGATGTACATGCAGCTTCACTGACTATTTCCAAGTCTTTAGTCTAGTATGTGTCCCCTCAGGGCTTTTTCAGAAGTAATTTTTGTTGGTTTATGTTTTCCATTGAATGGGCCATACTTTCCTATTACTTTATAGGCCTTATAATGTTTTTTGAACTGGACAAATATACTCTAATAATGAGGTAACTCTAAATATCAAATTCTCACCATTTCCTAGGGTTTATTGTGTTATGTTATTGTTTTGTTTTTTGATTGTTGAAGTGTGTCTCTGTGCTGAGGATCAGCCTGACATGTAAACTGAGCCTTCTTCTGGGCATGCGCATTCCCTCTACTTGTCCCTGAAAGGTTCAGGGTTGGGCCGGTTCACACAGAACAGACTCGGGGCTCAGTGTAATCAAAATAATATTTATTCCAGGCACCTGGGTGCAGGTGGTCTGACTCGAGAAAGAGTCAGCGGTGAATTGGGGAGGAAGCAGGCATTTTATGTGCTAGGGAGAGCTGCAAATGGGGCTTCGGCTTGACCCAGGTATCAGGACTGTTCCCCTGTGTAGTTTCACGACCTTGCCCTCGGGATTGGGGAAGCTGACCAGATAGGGTGAAGACACAGCCTCGGGGGTAGCTGTAGCCTGTACCTCCGACTCCCAGTCATTTCTCCGACCACCCCCACCAGGGGTGCCCACAATAGCACACTGGTGACCACCCATTAGCGCCCTTGAGGCACCCAGGGCCCACAGCCCGCTGCTGCTGGGCCCCCTCCAATGGGATAGGGCACACCTCTCCTCCCTACAACTCCAGACCTGGGTGGAGGTAGGTCTGAGCGGCTCCGCAGGGTCAGACCCGCCCCCCCCCCAGGCCCCCCCACAGCAGCAGCACCGTCTCAGCAGTGGAAGCACGCTGCACCTCCTAACCCACCTGGCACTGCCCTGGCCTGGCCCCCACCCGACTCCAGTTGATTGGAGCCCTGCCCTGAGCAGATACAGCGGTGAAACAGCTCCGTACAATTTAAAGAATGGCGCCAGGTGGTAAGGTTTGACAGTTACTCCCCCTTCGGCCTCGCCACCCCCCTAGCGCTCCTCTAATGACCTGCCCCCCAGCAGCGCCTCCAGGTACAACCACCGCTACTGGGCTGCTGGCCAGAACCCACCCCTCCGAGGCCTTTGGAACCCTCTGCAAAGCTTCCATAGCTACAGTCCCAGGAAACAATCATGCCCTCCTCCCCTAATCAGCACCTGCCACCTGCGAGGGTACCCGTGAGCTTAAAAATAACAATCCCTTCCCGTTTAGACATCACTTCCTTGTTGAAACATTTCTAGGTTTATTAGCTCAGAACCTCCTCATGACAACCCAGTGAGGTAGGCGGAGAAGAGATTATAATTGCAATGGTATATGTGTATGTACTCAGAAATGCAGCTCAAAGAGGAAAAGTGTCAAGCCCAGTGGTTCCCAAGGTGCAGCACATGCCCTAAGTGGGGGCAATTCAAGAATGAGATAACAGTGAATTTTTTGTATTACTTATGGTTCTAGGGGGCCTCATCTACAGCATATCCTACATAATATGAAGGCTAATATGCAAATGACCAAATAGTGAAATGACCGGTCACTATGATGTGGGCTGACCACCAGGGGGCAGACACTCAATGCAGGAGCTGCACCTTGGTGGTCAATGTGCTCCCACAGGGGGAGTGCCGCTCAGCCAGAAACCGGGCTCACAGCTGGCAAGCACAGCAGCAGTGGTGGGAGCCTCTCCCGCCTCCGTGGCAATGCTAAGGATGTCTGACTGACAGCTTAGGCCCACTAAGCCATCAGTCAGACATCCCCCCAGGGATTCTGGACTACAAGAGGGCGCAGGCCAGGCTGAGGGACCACCCCCCTCCAAATGCATGAATTTTGTGCACCGGACCTCTAGTACATTATAAGTCAATTAATTAGCCTTGGAGGAAAAGTCAGCTAGAAGCATGTACAGGCAGTTTTACTGACTATATTTTAACTTGATTAAGTGAGAATATTCAATCAATAGTTATAGAGAGCCTGCTAGGTACCTTGTGGAGTACCAAAAGGTTAGGAAATAGACCAAAGATTTTAACCAATGTGCCACAAGAATTTTTAAAACATAAAATACTTAACTATTTACTTGGGACCCTGACCTCTTTTCTCTGGCATTTTCAAATGAAAAACATAGCTACTGCCAATACAATAATAGCCATCCCATGTGAATAAATCAAAATTATACCATTTTTTTTGCCAGATGTACAACACTATATATATTTAGGTGGGCCTCAGAATTTTAGTAATTATGTTATGTGTGCCATGAAATGAAACAGGTTGAAAATGGCTGACATAGGTTATTCTCAAAGAAGTTTTAGCTTCATTGAGAATCGAGATATATATAGAGAGAGAGGTGTCCAAGGACCACAGAAATAGATTTGTTCATGATCATTTTAAGGAGAGTCCAGAAGGAGGAGAGAGTTCTGTGAATTACAGTCATCAGAGATTTCATCTCAGAGGGGTCTCCCTGAGCTCTACCATGGAAGATACTCTAATCTGAAGAGTATTCATAACATCAAAACCTTGCCTAGCACTCACTCTGTTCCAGATGCCAATTCACCTACTACTTAAAGCAACCCCACTACCTATATGCTTTTCCACAGAGGAGGGATTTAAGAAAGGGAAACATTCAGGGTCTCTTCCTAGCTCAACAAGCGAGTCAGTATTGGAGCTGGGACTCAAATGCAGTCAGGTCAGCTCTTGGGCCAGATCTCTCTGCTCAGTAGTTGCCCTGACAGAGCAGAATGGCATGAGCAAGGTCATAGGTGTGACTGTGCTGTGCCTGCCAGAGCTAGCAATCCCCAGACTGTCAGGCAAGACAGGTTTGTTTGTTTCTTTATTAGTTATTATTTTTTAAATATATTTTTATTGTTTTCAGAGTGGAAGGGAGAGGGAGAGAGAGATAGAAACATCAATGATGAGAAAGAAACTGGGGATCGTGCCTGCAACCTGGGCCTGGGCCCTTAACTGGAATGGACACCAGGACTCTTAGTCCACAGGCTGACACTCTGTCCACTGAGCCAAACCAGCTAGGGCATGACAGGTTTAGACACTTTTCTCTAGGCCAATGTGAAGAATCTCTTCATCTCATTAAATTGCAGATTCAGTGAACACATTCAATACCTGTCACTTCAGAAACTTCTCCCTGAAGCTAGTGTAGTGTAGAAAAACAACCGTATAAAAACCTCGTCATTGTTATGTGTTCTTGTTAAGTGGTAAAGAAAACAATCATCATTTCTTTTCTCATTTAGTTATTACACCCTTGGAGCAAATATTATAACATGTCAGATCTCTGGTACAAATGACAACGTGGCATGGAATGATAAACCACCAACTTGTGTAAGTAAGTACATTCTCTCTTTAGAATTTACAGCAGCAGTTCCCAAATTTTGAGCCTGGGGACCCCCGTATGCTTTACAATTATCAAAGACACCACAGAGCTTTTCTGCAGGTGGGTTAGTGCTACTGATCTTCTTTACCTTGGGATTAAAGCAGAGTTTTAAAATAATTATTTACCAATTCATTTTTAAGAACAGTCATCTCAATATATGTTAACAAATCAGCATTTTTTTCCCTAAGATCAAACATTTCCAAAAACAGTAGGACGAGTGTCATTGCCTTACATTTTTCCAATTTCTTCAGTATCTGGCTTAAAGAAGAGCTCCACATTTATCCAGAGGCTCATCAGACAGTCTCAGGTCATTGGAAAATGTCACTGTACACTCTAAGGGTGACAGTGAGAAAAGACAAAATCGTGGCCTACCTGAGAACCACTGATTCGGGAATGGATGTAGCATTTCTCAACTAGCACTGAGTTTTCCTAAGTCCTAACTTTATTTTCTCATTGAATTGTCAGTGTCTCTTATGATTAGAAAAACTTAGTGTGGCCTCACAGGTAAATACCGGTGTTTCATACAGGTATCTTCTATGGGTATTTAAGAAAATGGGTTTTATTCCAAAATTTTATTTTTCTAGTTTTGATTTGAATTGGGGTAATACATATTTTCATAGAAACTAAGTTTCAAATGGATACTAGATTTGTAATTAGATTGTAGAAATTATATGCTAATGAACTTATTGAATACAGTTCATAGGACATTACTAATGCTATCTGAATCTTTTACTTTTTCTTTTTCTTTTCCTCCCCTCTTTTCTCTCTTTTTAAGAGGTTTTGTGTCAGCCACCTCCATATAAACCACATGCAGAATTCAACAGTAGCCACAAGACTGCATTTGAATATAATGAAACAATTATTTATACTTGTAAGCCTTCTGGACCGGATGGATATTCACTTGTGGGAGAGAGCAAGCTTGTTTGTTCTGCGAACAACCGATGGAGTAGTGAGCCTCCTGAGTGTAGAGGTAATAACATCTCCCTTTCTTTCCTTCTCATTTGTAAATAGTGTGGAAACATTTACCGACTTTTATTTTATTTTATTTTTTAAAATATATTTTTATTGATTTCAGAGAGTAAGGGAGAGGGGAGAGAGAGATAGAAACATCAATGATGAGATAGGATCATTGACTGACTCCTGCATGCCCCTTATTGGGGCAAGCCCAAAACATGGGCATATGCCCTTGACTGGAATGGAACCTAGGATCCTTCAGTCTACAGGCCGATGCTCTATCCACTAAGTCAAACCAGCTAGGGTCATTTACCAACTTTTAAATACTTTGGCCAACACTTGAACAACAAAACAAAACAAAATTCCATATGTGTTTGTTCTCCCTGTTAAGTAGTTTCTAATCTAATTGTTTATAATTAGATAATCAAAAATAGTTCTACTTGTAGAGTTTCCCACTGTTCACCCCACATGTTCTTGGCATTGCTGTTTATGCATTATTAATTACAATGTATATGCATGAATTAAAAATTTCTTTTTGGCTTGAGAGCATCAAAAAACACATACTGGCTTTAAGAAAGTTTTTACTTCCTTTTTCTTTAAATCTTAATTGTTGAGAGCATTACAGATACCCCCTTTTTTGCTCCATTGCCCTCATCTATCCAGTTTTTACCCCACCCCAGGTTTTCACCACCCTATTGTTTGTTTCCATAGGTAATGCATATCTAAACTAATAAAAGGGTAATATGCTAATTATACTAAACATCTTCCCGACCATCTTCCGGACAAAGCCATGTTGGTGGGCCAAAGCAGAGGCAGTTAGGGGCAATCAGGCAAGCAGGGAACAGCAGTTAGGGGGATCAGGCTGGCAGGCAGATGAGTGGTTAGGAACCAGTGGTCCCGGATTACAAGACAGATGTCCAACTGCCAGTTGAGGCCCCATCCTGCAGGGATCAGACTTAAAACGGCAGTCAGACATCCCCCGAGGGGTGCCAGATTGGAAAGGGTGCAGGCCAGTCTGGGGGACCCCTGCCCGTGCATGAATTTCATGCACCAGGCCTCTAGTCTATATATGTAAAAGCCTAAGTGACCAGCCAACAAGCCAGTAGCTATGATGCCCAATGACCACCAGGGGGCAGACACTGACTGGTAGCTATGATGTGCACTGACCTCCAGGGGGCAGATGCTCAACATTGGAGTTGCGGAGCTGTGGTGACTTGTCAGCTGCAGTTCTCGGGTGACACACCTGGAACCAGAGAGGAGAGAGCCCGATTCCGGGGTGCATCACCAGAGAACCACCCTCTTGCATCCAGGACTCATCGGGAGATGTCAGAGAGCTGGTTTTGGCTTGATCCCACAGGCCAGGCCAAGACAAGGGACCCAACTGGTGCACAAATCTGTGCACTGGGCATCTAGTATGCATATAAATTCTTTGGCTAATCTCTTCCTGCCCACCTCCCCCCTTCCCTGTGAGATTCTTGAGTCTGTTCCATGTTTTGATGCCTCTGGTTCTATTTTATTCATCACTTTATTTTTTCATTAGATTCCTTGTTCATTTAATATCATTTTTAGTATCAATTGTTGATAGATATGTATTTATTGTATTTCTTATTATTATTATTACTAGAGGCCTGGTGCACAATATTTGTGCACTGTTGGGGGGGGCTGGGTATCCCTCAGCCAAGCCTGCACTGTCTAGCAGTCTGGGAGCCCTCAGGGAATGTCCGACTGCTGGATTATGCCCACTCCCCATGACAGGTGGACATCCTTAGTGCTCCTGCTGAGGTGGGAGAGGCTCCTGCCACCCAACTGCGTTTGCCAGTTGTGAGCCCAGCTCAGGGCTTCTGGCTGAGCAGCGCTCCCCCTTTGGGAGAGCACTGACCATCAGGGGGCAATTCCTGTTTTGATCATCTGGCCCCTGGTGGTCAGTGCATGGCATAGTGACTGGTTGTCCTGCTGTCCAGTCGATTTGCATATTAGCCTTTTATTATATGAGATTCTCGTTCTTGTTCATCTTGTTGTTGCTGTTGTTGTTGTTGTTGTTCTTCTTCTTCTTCTTCTTCTTCCTCCCCTTCTTTTTCTTCTTCTTCTTCTTTTTCTTCCAGAATATCCTTCAACATTTCATGTAATATTGGTTTGGTAATGAAGAATTCCATTACTATTTTTTGTCTGGACAGCACCTTTTCTGACCTTCAATTCTAAATGATAGTTTGCTGGGTAGAGAGTAATCTTGGTTGTAGAACCTTGCTTTTGATCACTTTAAAAATTTCTACCACTCCCTTCTGGCCTGCAAAATTTCTGTTGTGAAATCAGCTGATAGTCATATGCCTACTCCCTTGTAGGTAACTAACTGCTTTTCTCTTGATGCTTTTCAGATTCCTTCTTTGTCTTTAACCTTTGGCATTTTAAATATGATGTATCTTGGTGTGGGCCTCTTTGAGTTCCTCTTGTTTGGGACTCTCTGTTCTTTCTAGACTTGTACTAGTAAGTCCATTTATTTTTACTAGGTAGTGGAAGTTTTCTATCAAACTAAAAATGATGTTTTAATATCTGGCAGAACACTTCCTTTTCAGAAATGTTTAAGCCACTCTCTATGCTAATTTTTGTACATGAACTTTTATTGTATTTTATTTTTACCATTTTAACCATTTTAAGTGTACATTTCAGTGGCATTAAGTACATTCAGATGGTTGTGCAACCATAACTTCTATATATCCAAAACTGAAACATTGTACCCATCAAACAACAACTCTCTATTTCCCTCTCTCCCCAACTATGGCAATGGCTAGTCAGTTTTCTATGAATTTGACTATTTTTAGGTACCTCATAGAAGTGGGGTCCCTTCTGGCTTATTTCACTTAGCATAATGATTTTAAGGTTCATCTACCTTGTAGCATGTATCACAAGTTTATTTCTTTTTATAGTTGAACTAGAGGCCCAGGACACAAAAATTTCTGCACTCGGAGGGTTCCCTCAGCCCAACCTGTGCCCTCTCGCAGTCTGGGACCCCTTAGGGGATGACCACCTGCTGGCTTAGGCCTGATCCCTGGGGGATTGGGCCTAAGCTGGCAGTCAGACATCCCTTTGGCAGCCCGGGAACCCTCAGGGGATGTCCACTTGCCAGCAGGGAGCAGGCCTAAGCTGCAGCTGGACATCCTTAGCACTTCTGAGGAGGCAGGAGAGGCTCCCTCCACCATCGCTGTACTGGCAGCTATCAGCCTGGCTTGAGGCTGAGCAGAGCTCCCCCTGTGGGAGCGCACTAACCACCACAGGGCAGCTCCTGCATTGAGCATCTGCCCCCTGGTTGTCAGTGTTTGTCATAGTGACCAGTCATTCCCAGTCTTTCTGCTGTTAGGGTCAATTTGCATATTACCCTTTTATTATATAGGAGTGCCTGGCCAGTCTGGGTGAGCGGCTGATTGCAGTTTTCAGTCTGGCCAAGCCCCCCAACGGGGACCCTCACCCCATGAGGGTGTGGTCAGCCTGGGTGAGTGGCTAATGGCTGTTTGCAGGCTGGCCACAGCCCCTTCAGGGTGGGGGGGGTCCTTCTGGGGTGCCTGGCCAGTCTGGGTGAGGGTCTGAGGGCCGTTTTCAGACTGGCTAAGACTCCCAGCAGGAACCCTCACCCCATGAGGGTATGGCCAGCCTGGGTGAGGGGCTGATGGCTGTTTGAAGGTTGGCCACAACCCCCAGCCACCCAAGCTCCCAGTGGAGGCTGGCTGGAAGCAGGTATCTGGTATTTATTTGTCTTCCATAATTGAAGCTTTGTTGCCATGAGCAGAGGCTACAGCCGGCTCAGGGCAGAAGGGAAGCTTGGCTTCCTCTATCCCCCGGGCAACCAAGCCTCCTGTTTGCTCCAGCTCTTGGCTGCCTGCCGCCATCTTGGTTGGATTGATTTGCATATAGTCGCTCTGATTGGCTGGTGGGTGTGGCTTAGGGCATAGCAAAGGTACGGTCAATTATCATCTTTGTCTTTTATTCGTGTAGATCATATTCCATTGTCTGTTGTTACCACCTCTTTTATTTTTTTTTAATCCATTCACCTGATGATAGACATTTGGTTTGTTTCCAACTTTTGGCCATTCTGAATATGCTTCTCTGAAAATTGACATTTGAGTAACTGTTTGAGGCCTTTTTCAGTTTGGGGGGTATACACCCAGGAGTAGAGCTGCTGGGTTATGTGTTTACTTTTTGAGGAGTAGCCATACTGTCTTCCATGGCAGCTGCACCATTTCACACTCCTGCCAGTGACCCAAGAAGATTCCAATTTCTCCACCGCTTTACCAATACTTGTTTTTTTATACTCAGCATCCTAATGTATATGAAGTAGCACTCATTGTGGTTTTATTTCATTTCCTAATGATTAGTGATCATATTTTTTTAATATATTTTATTGATTTTTCACAGAGAGGAAAGGAGAGGGATAGAGAGTTAGAAACATCGATGAGAGAGAAACATCGACCAGCTGCCTCCTGCACACCCCCTACTGGGGATGTGCCCACAACCAAGGTACATGCCCTTGACCAGAATCGAACCCGTGACCCTTCAGTCCGCAGGCCAACACTCTATCCACTGAGCCAAACTGGTTAGGGCTTAGTGATCATATTTTTATGTGCTTATTGGTATTTTGTATACCTTCTTGGGGGCAAATGTCTCTGGAAGTCCTTTGCATGTTTTTTTTTCTGTCACTAAATTTAGGAGTTCATTATGTATTTTGGATATTAATCCCTTATCTGATGTATTATTTGCTGATGTCTCCTCCTATTCTATATGTTGCCTTTTTACTCTATTAATAATGACAGTTGATAAAAGTTTTTAATTTTGCTGAAGTCCATCCAATTTATCTATTTTTTCTTTGCTGCCTATGCTTTTGGCATCACACTCAAAAAATCATAGTCAGATTCAACATCATGAAGCTTGTCCTCTGTGGTTTTTTTCTATAAGTTTTATGTTTTAGCTCTTTGATCCACTTTGAAATCATTTTTGTATATGATGTAAGATAAAGATCCAACTTCATTCTTTTGTATGTAGATATTCAGTTTTCAAAGAACCATTTGTTGAAAAGATTGCCCTTCCCCAGTAAATGTTCTTAGCACCCTTCCATACAACCGCTTGAGCATATATGCACTGGTTTATTTGTGGGCTCTGTATTCTACTCAATTGGTTGGTCTTTATTGAGTAGAATAAAGTGCCTGTACCACTGTGTTTTGATTATTGTAGCTTTTGAGTAAGTTTTAAACTCAGAAAATGGTAGTTCTCTTAACTTTTCCATTTCAAGATTATCCTGGCTATTCCTAGTCCCTTGAGGTTCCATTGGATTTTTCTATTTCCGCAAAATGCATATTCAACATGGTGATGGAGATTGCATGTAGTCTGTAGGTTGCTTTGTGTAATATCAGCATCTTAACCATATCAAATCTTCTAATGTATGAACACAGGATGTCATTTCATTTATTCATATTGTCTTCTATTTCTTTCAGCAATATTTTGTAGTTTCCAGTGTAGGAGCCTCTCACCACCTTGGTAAAGTTTCTTTTCATATATTTTACCTCTTTTGTATCCCTGAAAAGGAATCAAATCCGAGTCCTAGATTATGTGCTCTGACCAGGAATGAAACCCGTACTTTTGGTGTATGGAACTATGCTCCAAACAAACAACTGGCCCACCTGGTCAGGGCAGTATTTTACTAATTTTTGATGCTATTGTGAATAGAATAGTTTGCTTCATTTCCTTTTGGTTTGCTCATGGTTGGTGTTATGAAATGCAACTGATTTTTACTTGTTGGTTTCATAGACTGCAATTTTGCCAAATTTATTTATTAGCTCTAACAGGTGGGTGTGTGTGCATGTGTACTTTTGTAATCTTTACAGTTTTCTACTTAAAAAATCGGGTCATCTTGCCCTATCCGGTTTGGCTCAGTGGATAGTCAGCCTGTGGACTCAAGGGTCCCAGGTTTGATTCTGGTCAAGGGCATGTACCTTGGTTGTGGGCACATCCCCAGCGGGGAGTGTGCAGGAGGCAGCTGATCAGTGTTTCTCTCTCATCGATGTTTCTAACTCTCTATTCCTCTCCCTTCCTCTCTGTAAAAAATCAATAAAATAAAATATATATTTTTTTTAAAAATCGGGTCATCTAGAACAGAACTATAATTTTATTTCTTCCTTCCCAATTTGAATGTTTTCTTTTCTTGCCTAATTGCTCTGATAATAATTTTTGATATTATGTTAAAAAGAAATGTCAAACACGGTCATCCTGCCTTGTTCCTGATCTTAAGGGGAAAACTTTGTCTTTTACCCTTGAGTATGATGTTACCTATGAGTATTTCATAAATGGGCCTCATTATGTTGAAATTTTTCTGCATTACAAATACCCTCTAAATCACTTATTAAGCTGTCCTATATCTTTTAATTATAAGTAGAGTCCCATTGAATCCATAGGCTAATATTGAGGATAGACTGATGATAAATTTGTATTCTGTACCACAGAATATTGTCACAGGAAATGGTACTGGAGAGGAAGAAGAATGCTGATGACTGAATATTAATTTATAATTTTTATGATACTACTTTAAATGAGAAACATTATTTATATAAGGAAAATAAATTATAAAAGGTTTTGTGAAAAGACAAACAACCCAAACCTATGAATTTAGGAGTCTGTAAGCTTTACTATTTTTTTACTTCTTTTTAAAATTATTCCTGTTTTTTTTCTTCTAGAAAATTCTCCACCCACTACAGTATCACCAAATAGAGCTGACGATTTAGGTATTATTTTGAATATTGATAACCCTCCATTCTGAGACCTTAGAGTTCTCCATGGAAATATCATATTTCAATTATCTGCAGTTAGAGAAGAAACAACCTGTCATGTGATAATTGACATTTGTATTTAGTTGTATGTGTAGATACCATGACAAATAGAAGCAGTAGTATGTGTAGACACATGCAGATAATACGGTTTTTAAGAGGTTCCTCAAGTTCGAATTCCTAGTAGGGGAGGGAACTTTCTCAATCGCTGTGTTTATTTGTAGTTGAAATGTATAAAACCTAACTTGCTTTCCATGTGATAGTGCTATTTTGTAATGGCAATTTATAAATAAATTTTCTTTCTATTCATACCTTGTATATACATGCCTTAACATAGTGTAAGTTGGGTTAGTTTTCTTCTAGAACAGGCTGGTGTATCTCACATTATTTAGGTTCATGTAGTTCACACAATATATGTTAAAAGAAAGGATAAAGTATGGTTGTGGCAGTTACATAAAATATTAGGATTTTTGTTGAGTAAATGAGGAAAAATATGTATTACTTTTCTTTACATTAGACTAGTTTAGTAAGTTTAGTCATTTTGGGCCTATTAAGCTTTCCCTCAACACTGTTGTCAAAGGTTCACTGTGCCAATAAATCCAAATCCATTTAAATTCACTAAACACTTGATTTTTTTAAATGAAATTAAAAGAGCAGAGGTAAACAAGACATTGTATGCTTTGACCTAATTTAATAAAAATAATGGCAGTTTGGGAGTAGAGGTACTACTGAACATTTCTAACATTTAAGATTTTATAGTATTTCTTATTACTCTCTACACCAGTGGTTCTCAACCTTCCTAATGCCGCGACCCTCTAATGCAGTTACTCATGTTGTGGTGACCCCCAACCATAAAATTATTTTCGTTGCTACTTCATAACTGTAATTATGCTATTGTTATGAATCATAATGTAAATATCTGATATGCAGGATGTATTCTCATTGTTACAAATTGAACATAATTAAAGCATAGTGATTAATCACAAAAACAATATGTAATTATATATGTGTTTTCCGATGGACTTAGGCGACCCCTGTGAAAGGGTCCTTCGACCTCCAAAGGGGTCGCGACCCACAGGTTGAGAACCGCTGCTCTACACCGTCAAAAATGCATGTTGAAGTTTCCATGCTCAATTTGTCCATGTGCCCCAGTGTTTCACTTGCTTTCATAGAAAGTTCTTCATAATTAAGATCTTAACTTGGGGGTGAGGGTGCATGAGGAAAGATTTTTACAATAATGTATAGTTTGGGAAGACTGCCAAATAGGTTTATGTAATCAGTTAATAGAACTCCATTCGTAGCTTATTCCACAGACTCACTTTTGAGGAACAATATAAGTGAAATTTCTAACAAAATCATAAGGATAGACTGAATACTGAACTAAACCAACCAGAAAGGGATAATACGTTCTTAAAATGATTTCCCTTTAATGTAGTAAAATATAATTTATATAATAATTATCTAATATTTACAATAATACCAATTTTTTAGAACCTGGTGGGGTTACTACAGCACAAAAACAAGTCAGGTCCTATTAAGAGTTTCAGAAATTGAACCGTAAGCTTGGAATTGTATAAGAAGGGCTCTGTGATCAAAATGAGCTGGATGCACTAGCAGTCACACTAAACTAGACTGATAAACTTTTCTTTGCTGTAGTTTATAAATGATCTGATCAAAATTAAAATGTGGAGACCCACGTGTGCTCAATTACCTTCAAACTGGCTTTACTTTTTCTCAGATGGAAGACTTGTTGCTGTGATTGTTCTGACTGTGCGTAAGTGTCCCAAATTTGGATGCCACTTAAATCAAAATACTAATGTGAACAAGTGCATTTTAACGCCTTTTTTAGTTTCTATAGTTTTCATAGCTTGACATTAAGTAAACCAGTCTAGAAGTACCTGACCTTTTATATGATTCTATCCTGTGTTGGTATAGTATATTCTTTTGTAGTCTACATGTCCATGTAGTAACAAATCTTAATATTCCAAAAAAGCTTTGAGTAATATTCCAAATTAAGCGAAGACTCTTGCCTGACTTACTGCAGACCCTAACTGATACCAGGGAGCTGCGTTTACACAGTGAAGAGTCCAGATAGAATATGAATGAATATGGGCTTAAATAAAATAATATTTCTGCCCACTGCAATGTAACCAACATTAATTTCTTCTCCTGGATTTTGAAACTTGGCATTACTTTTTAGACTTACATGTCATTTGTTTTCTGGTTTCTTGTAGTTGTTGGCGTTGCAGTGGTTGGCACCTGTGTATAAATGCCGTCACATCAGGGAGAGTAAATTAAACATCTTTCTTGAATCTGTTGTTGCTTCTCATATTGATGTACTTATGCAGCTTTTGCTTGCACTCGGTATTGCGTGCTGTCTTGTTAAAAACATGCTTGTGTGATTGTGCTGTCAGAATTGCATTTCTTGCTGAAAATATTTTCATCTACTTTTAGTATTATTCTAAAAAGAGTAATCTGTGTAGAGTTGTTTTAGCTATTATGTCTGAAAAAAATTCCTGTGTGGGTTTGAGATTTAAGTTCTGCAGAAAATCATGGATCTTTATAGTGTCTCCCCTACCCTAGGTTTACCATAATCCTACAGTGCACTGTCAGCCAGGACTAAATTTAAAATAGTTCATTGTGGAGACTTTGACAATTCTATTCACTGTAATCTTTAGGATGTAGGTTTCTATGTGTCTGTATAACATAATAGTTGTAAGAAGTTATGTGTCTTATGTAAATACTCAGTTTGATTTCTTTTCACGTAGAGTTGTTGTTTATACAGGTTAAACTGGGGATTTAAAAGCAACATAGTTTAACTTTCCTCTTTTGTTCTCCTAATTAACTAGGTTGCAGTAAAGCTCAAGAGTTCAACCTAAATTGCTGAGAGGGGTAAATTACGAATTCACCTCATTAACTTTATCTGCCTTTTTATCTATAAAAATGGAAAAGGGGAAATTTCAAATAGAAAAAATGTACCAATATATATCTTCTAAGGAGAATGGTATGTGTAAGCATCACCCTTAAGTTTTTTAAAATATGTTTTTATTTATTTCAGAGAGGAAGGAAGAGGGGGAGAGAGAGAGAGAAACATCAATGAGAGAGAATTATTGATCGGCTGCCTCCTGCATGCCCCACACTAGGGATCAAACCCACAACCTGGGCATATGCCCTGACTGGGACTAGAACCATGACCTCCTGGTTCATAGGTCAATGCTCAACCACACTTAAATCTTAATGAAACAATTTACAATGTAATGAAAGATTTAGAATAAATCCTGGAGCATAGACCAAGACTGCAATATTTGACTTTCAGCCATTTGTTTGCCCCATCTGAGATTCCATTCATTTGGAGATAGTTTTGAAATCAAACTAATATTTTTAAAGACTTTTTGTATTTGTGGTTTAATATGTTTTACTTTTATAGTAAGCATTTGGTTTGGGCTATATACATTCTTCACTCATGAATAGTTCATGTTAAAATAACTTGTAACAAAAGCAAAAATAGCTTTGTGTGTCTCATATTCTTTCATTGTTTAAAACATCACTGCATCAGAATTCTTAAAGGTTCTTAATCCTGAATCAAACCCTCTAGCTACCAGGTAAGGGCTCATTAAAGGTGAAGAGGTGGCTGAGCGCTGTAGCCCTGGATTCAAGGCTGAGGACCACAACTGACCTGAGGTTCCATGTCTGCTGAGCTCCAAGTGATGTTGCTGCTGGGCCTGGACTCCTGTGAGTAACCAGGTGGAGACCACCATGGATGTGCGTGTGTTCTTGAAATATGAACAAGCACCTTCAAGTTTATGAGCAAATGTTTCTCCTGTTTTAGCTAATTGGATTTTTTAAAGACTCCTCATCTTGTGTACATGCTCCAGAAAGGATGTGGGGTAACACTTAGCTTTACCGGCTTTTCTTTAGGAAAAGTAAAGATTTGTATTATATCTCTACACTGTTTGGTGTCCATAATCTCTCCTAAAAAAATGGCTGCCATCGCCTTAGAAACTAATTTATGTGATTCTAACATATATACAGATACTTCTTTATTCCTGAGGGTAACTCTGGAAGCAGGGTACTAGGCATAGAGAAGCAAACATTGCTGTTACAACTTGGTGCCAAATGCCTTGATGTACTTATGATGATTTGGAATAAAATTACCCTTCTGCAGCCTTCATATTAAAGTAGAAAATTAGCATAAGGACTCAGTTTTAGATTAGTAAACACATTAACATCAGGATGAAAAATGGCCAGGAAGTAAAATAGATAGATAGATAGATAGATAGATAGATAGATAGATAGATAGATATCTTACCACTTATATAATGTGGGAAGCTACTTACTCTAAGTTACAATCAACAGTTTGGGAGCAGATTCCACAAAGGCCAATGGGAAAGGCAATTTCTTGGTAAAAGCAAAGTGGTGTCTTTAATCCCAGGGGCAAAGGAGAAGACAAACATTCCTACCAGTAGGGCAGTCTGGGCTTCCCAGTCCTATCTTCTTCATCTCTTAGGATTCCTTGAGGCTGAAACCAACCAGTTTTCACACTCTTGTGAGCTTCAAAATATCTGAAGCTCTCACAGTTAATTTAATGAATATTGAAGTTAATATAAAATACTTGTAATTAGAAATTCACTTTTAGATTTTCATCTGGCTCTAAAATAAAAAAGCTTCAAATTGCTTCGTAGTTTTATCAAAGGAGTGTTTTTTAAATTTATATTAGTGCTTATTTACCTTTCTTATATACTGGATTTCTATTTTAAAATAAGAAAGCCTTATACCAAATATCAGAAATAAGCAACAGCTCTGCTATCCTGGGATTTAGGTTTAGGGCATGTGCCTTCAATTCTGTTTTCTACTGATGTTTAGATGAGCACTTATTTATGGTGTTTGGGGAAATGATTGCTCATTGATCATCTATCCCCACCTGAAAAGGCTCCTAGTAAAATACTCCTTCATCTGCATTTGACATGGGACTCCATTATGAGAGAATATTTGC